CTTTCTGTTGGGATAGCTTCCTCCTTCCTGTTAGATCAGTTTCCCTGGTTGGGTCCATTGCTCACAGTGAGGGCTTAGGACAGACAAATAAGATGTTACCCACCATTGGTGTCCTCAGGTTTCCTGATGACTCAGTGGAGGCTGCAGCTTTTACACCTGGCCTTTTTTTTTCTTTTTAAGATATTTAAATTTTTTTATTTTATTTTATGTGTATGGGTGTTTTGCCTATATGCAGGTCTGCACCAAATGTGTGCAGTGCTCACAATGGCCAGGAGAGGGCGTGGATCCCCTGGAATTGGAGTTACAGACAGTTGTGAGCTGCCATGTAGGTGCTGGAGTTTCATGAATGGAATTTGAGACAAACTGTGGGTCTTGGGGAGGCCATTACATATGGACAGTTGACCCCCTTGGGAGTTTGTAGGGTGGGCACCTCCAACTAAGTATAGCTTCTGTTTTCTTACTTAATAAACATTTGCTGAGCACCTGCTCTGGGCAAATACTGTTCTGTTGGCAAGGGTTCCGCATTGAACAAAACAAACACAGGTGCTCTTCACTGCAGCTTGCATTCTAGAAGGGAAACAGGGAATGCACAAACACACACAACTGGAATTAAATAGTTAGAAAGTGCGTAGTATTAACCCGAAGTTTCAGGCCAGCCTGGGTTACATGAGACAGTCTAAAAAACCAAAACCAAAAGGTGTGGTAAGGAAAAAAAAAGGGGCAGATGAACAGGGATAGTTCAGGGAAGGCCCTAGGGTGCCATCTTTTCCATTCAGGGTCAGAGGGTTCCTGGCTTCAAGGGCAGTGTTGTCCTAGGGACAGGATTGGGTCTGTCTACCTGTTACAAGGGCTTTTTCTTTCTTTCTCTCTGGACCTCAGTACTCATCCCCAAATCTAGAGATGTGGACACTAGCTCAAATTGCCTCCAACAGGGAATTCAGTGGTCTCACAGTTGATTCCTATCATGCTTGTCTCACTTCCTTTTTGGCTTCTATTCACCTCCTAGAGGGAGAGGGTAGGATTCGGCCTGAGTGTCAAGATCTGACCCAGCCCATCGGGAAGCTCCTCAGATATGCCTCTGGCCCATAGCAAGGATAGAATGATTTGGTCTTGGGGTGGGGAGAAAAAAATAGATCTTAGGCTCATGGACTTGAGTGGCAGCATGAAGGGATTGCCATGATAGGAGAGCAGGAAAGAGGATAAGGAAGAAATAATAGTATTTGGGGTGGAGGAAGTAGCCAGTTATGTTCAGTACAACTGAGGAGTCATGCCAGGACCGGCTGAGCTAATCAGTTTGAGCAACACAGATGGCTGATGACTGGGAGAGGGGCAGAGACAGCAGTCTGAGGGTCCAGGGATACATACCCCCTCCCCATCTCAGAAGGATTTCCTCAGGAGGAGCAAGCCTTTCCATGTAATGGGGACAGAGAGAGCCCGTGAACTCTGGCCACCAAGAGAAAAAACAGGCTCCTGGAGTGTGGTGGTATTGTGTTCCCCAAAATATTGTGTACCCTAATAAACTTATCTGGGGTCAGAGAACAGAAAAGCCACTAGATACTTAGGATAGGTAGTGGTAGCCCACGCCTTTAATCCTAGCATTCCAGAGGCAGAAATCCATCTGTTCAAGGATACAGCCAAGCATGGTAACTCATGCCTTTAATCCCAGAAAGCGAGCCTTTAATCCCAGGGAGTGACGGCAGAAAGCAGAAAGGTATATAAGGCGTGAGGACCAGAAACTAGAAGCATTTGGCTGGTTAAGCATTTGGCTGGTTAAGCTTTTAGGTTTTGAGCAGCACAGTTCAGCTGAGAGCCATTCGGATATGAGGACACAGAGGCTTCCAGTCTGAGGAAACAAGATCAGCTGAGAAGTTGGCCAGGTGAGGTTAGCTGTGGCTTGTTCTGTCTCTCTAATCTTCCAGTGTTCACCCCAATAACTGGCCTCAGGTTTGATTTTATTAAGAACTTTTTAAGATTCCTGCTACATTCCTGGAGATCATCTGTGGAGAAAGAGACCCAGAGAGAAAATGTCTTTCTAGGCCTTGTATCCCATAGTGACTAGTAGGCAGGCCCAGGCCTCCTGTCCCCGAGACAGTGTTGTCCCTGATGCCCAGAATCCCTGACTCCACAAGCAAAGAAAAGTACCCTGAGACCTTGTCTGAAATAGTTTTGATCTGTTTCCTCTTATTACTTACCACTCTATTTTTGTTGTTGTTGTTGCATTTTTGTTTGTTTGTTTTTCTGAGACAGAATCTCATGTATCCCAGGCTGGCCTCAAACTCACTAAGTAGCTGAAGATAACCCTGAACTCCTGATCTTCGTGCCTTTATCTGGAGCGCTGAGATTACAGGTGCGCACTACCATACCAGGTCTATTCAGTAATAGGAGCTAAACCCAGGACTTTGTGCATACCAAGCAAACACTCTACCCACCGGACCACATCCCCACCCCAACCCTGCCTCATTCTTTCGCTCCCATTATATTATCTTCCTTTCTGTTCTAGACTATTTTATTGTTTTATGACATCCCAGTTTTTTCACTTTGGGCTGATTTTTCACAGATACTAGTATCAGCTTCTTTGCCCACTCTCCTTTCATTTGGTTGAATTGTCCTTGAAGTCCGGGAGGCTTTCCTGACTCCGTGGGGTTGGGTGTCTCCTTTGCATCCCCATGGGACTCCCTGTGTGTTGGCCCTTCCCACCCTAACATTCGCTATTAATGTGCTTCTGGACTGAAGCACAAGTTCCCCAGAGCTAGAATCAGGTCTGATTAGGTCCTCTGCCCCAGAACCTTAAGTTACAAAGATTCGGATTCCTTTCCTACGGACAATGAACAGTCTTCCTCCCCCTGAAGGCTCTCCTTTTCTCTCTGGGCCTCGTTTCTTTTTTCTTTTCTTTTTTTTTTTTTTTTTGGTTTTTCGAGACAGGGTTTCTCTGTGTAGCTTTGCGCCTTTCCTGGAACTCACTTGGTAGCCCAGGCTGGCCTCGAACTCACAGAGATCCGCCTGGCTCTGCCTCCTGAGTGCTGGGATTAAAGGCGTGCGCCACCACCGCCCGGCTCTTTTTTTTTTTTTTCTTTTCAAAGCAGGGTTTCTCTGTGTAGCTTTGCGCCTTTCCTGGATCTCGCGCTGTAGACCAGACTGGCCTCAAACTCACAGAGATCTGCCTGCCTCTGCCTCTCAAGTGCTGGGATTAAAGGCGTGCGCCACCAGTGCCCGGCTCTGGGCCTCACTTCTAACAGCAGTCAGAAAGTGAGGTCAGGGGAGTCTTTCCTACATAGACATCTGGCCCAGTGCTCCCTGGGTTGGTTAGGGGCTGGCGGGTGGCTCAGTCCTGGGATGGCCAGGGAGGAACAGGTGGTGGTAGCTCTGCTCTGGGAGGGCAATGGTGTTTGGTTCTTTCTTGTTGGAAGGAGCAGGGATGAGGACATGTGCTTCCCAGGGCTAGTCTGGGACAGGCTAGTTTTCAACATAGACTTGAAAGGTGACAGGGCATAGTAAAGATCAGGGGTGGGGGCTGTGTATCCAGTCTGTTCCCAGCTCTCTGGCCTCCTTATGTAGGTCCCCACCTACTTCTCTCTATATACAGCAAGTATGTGTTAGCCAGGATCATTCGCTGTGTCGACACCTCACTACCCACGTAAGCCAGGCACCAGGGGGGCTCAGTGATGGAAGTCAACTACCGTGAATCTGAGTAGAGGAAGATCAAACAGAGGAGGACATGAAGCCCAAGGTTGGAAGGGCCTTGAGCAGGGTGAACTAGATGTGAATTCAGGGTTACACCCAGAACTAGTGCTCCAGACCCCTGAGGAAGGTCAGAAAAACGAGGAGATGGCCGCAGCCGGAGTTCTTAGAGAAGATGGCTCCGCTTTCCCTATGGGCAAAATGGTTACAGGTTTCGGATCAGGACTTCTGGTTCACTTTATGACTGTGTGGAGGTGGTAAAGAGCTTGCTGGCTGGAGCATAGGCTCTGTGGATGACTGTGTGGACAGTGAGGAAGGACAGTTGATGTGACACAGTTCATGAAGGGAGGAACCAGGGCCTGGCTGGAAGTGAGCAGAAACAGCAGTAGGCCGCTGGAAGAGCTTGGCATGAGGTCAGAATCACTTGGGGGCCAGTGTGTGTGTGTGCGTGTGCGTGTGCGTGTGCGTGTGCGTGTGCGTGTGTGGTGTTTAAGACCTACTACTGCTACCGGGTGTGCTGGCTCGTGACTTCGGGTGAGTCACTTTATCACTCTGAGGTTTGGTTTCTTTGTCTGTTAAATGGAGATGTTAACACTCATCTTCAAGGTCTATCATGGGACTTCAAAATAATCTAGGCAAAGTGTCTGTGTTTCATTAAAAAAGATTATATAGAAAGGTTTATAGAAAGCACTGTTTTTTCCTGGAAATGGGACCAGGATGAGGCTGTCCTAACAGAAGAGATGAGGGAAAGAGTGTGTGTACAGTAATATTAATCACCCCTCAGAAGCAGGACTTTCTGTGGGCCTGCCCCTTGCTGGGTAAGGCTGGGTAGCCAGCAAGGCTCACCCACTTCAGTTCACAGGCTGAGTGGAAGTGGGTGCAGGAAGAACCCTAGAGGCAAGTGCTATGGGAGGGACTTAGGGGTATGGACAGCCTAGCTCTGACAATAGGGACCCTGAGCAAGTGTGTGCTCAACTAAAGGGTCCTGAGGGGAAGGTTGGGAGATATCTGGGAGGAGGTTCCACTTTCTGTCCCGAGCATTACCTATTTCTCTCAGTGGTAGAGTGGTCCAGGAATGCTGGCTTCCTCCTCGGTCCCATACTCTTGCCTGGGCTACCTAGAGTGAGGCATGCTCCTGGAGCTACCTACTTCACTGTGAAGTGCCTTCCAGCCTCTCCTTACTCTCTCCTCACTGGCTTGGTCTGAGCTCTGCCCCTCCCCAGCTCCTGGGCTTTTCTCTCCACACAATAACAGGATGTGATCAGTTCGAAGAGAGGAAGTGGGGGAGGATGCTATGCTGATAGCAGAGAAGGAGAGGGGGTTCTGACTCTTCCCTCTCTAGTCCTCCCCAGCTCTGTCAACCAGCCTCTGAGGCTCCTTTCCCCCTAAGTCCTACCCTAGGCTTCTGTCTGAGACCAGTAAGGATGAACTTGGGTCTTCAGGCCCATGCTTGCCTATGGAGAGACATGCCTTGACCACGCCTTCTGCAGAGCCTGCCTTCTGGAGAGGCTTGCTGGCCAAGCTTTAGATGCTGGGTTATTTCCTGCCCTGCAGCTGCTGGAGTCTAAGGAGAAGCAGGTAGGTCACTCAGCAGGCCTCCATCTGTCCAATGGCTTCCCAAGTCCATGTGAGCATGGTTCAATGCAATGGGTGTTAGAATCAATCAAAAAGTTCTTGTCAAATGCTGGTTTGGCATGGCCTTGTACAGTGTTTGGGCCAGGCTTCGAAAACAGAAAGTAAAGTTCAGAGTGATAAGTGTATTCGTCAAGGTTCTCTAGGGTCAAAGAATTTATGGAATGAATCTCTCTATCTCTCTGGAATGACTTACAGGCTGCGGTCCAACTAATCCAACAATGGTTGGCTGTGAAGGGAAACTCCAAGAATCTATAGTTTCTCAGTCCCACGAGGCTGGGGGTCTCAGCTGGTCTTCTGTATATGCTGGAATCCGGAAGAAGTAGGCTCCAATGCCAGTGAAGGACTGGATGTGCTGGCAAGGTGAGGGCAAGGAAGTAAAGAAGGAAGCTTTCCTTCTTCCATTGTCCTTTAGAGGTTTCCAACAGAAGGTGTGGCCCAGATTAAAAGTGTGTCTTCCTGCCTCAGCTCTGGATCAAAAGCCTGTGCCTTCCAGCCTCAAGATCCGGATCAAAGGCATATCTTCCTGCCTCAATGATCTGGCTCACAGGTTTGTCTCCTATTTCTGGATTGTAGTTTATTACAAATGTAGTCAAGCTGACAACCAAGAATAGCCATCACTGCAAGGGACATGGAGTAGGAGCTGATGGAGAACTTTTAGATGTGCCCTGTCCGTATGACAGCTATTAAACACATACAGCTCTTCAGTATTTGAAGGATGACTAACACACCAGTTTGTCATTGTGTTTAATTTGTATTAACTGCAAAGGGCCATGTGCAGATATTGGTTATTGACTAGTAAAGCTTTAGACCTTCATCCATTGGGTGACTGGTCCCTTACTATCTCCTATGCCGAACCAGGCCATGCTGGGGACACAGATCAGTCAGGTAGTTGAAACCATGCATAAGGACTGTCTTAGAGGCCAACCAGGAGAAGAGTGTGGCTCAGACAGGGGTCAAGGGAGGTTTCTCAGAGAATGCTGGCTCTGGAGGGATGAGTAGAAATTTATCAGGGATACAGAGAAGAACGGAAGTTGGGTGGCAGGTGTGAATAAAGGCACAGCACTGGGAGGAATGGGATGTGCTTTGGAAACTGTAGTCTTTGTTGATGGGGTCTTGGGGTCCAGTCACCAGAAATCTGAAGTTCCCTGAGAGGAACGGGAGCCACAGTGAGGCTTGTGAGCAGGTCAGAGGGTGGTCAGAGCATTTTGGGGACTTCGTAGGTAACCACAGTGGAGGGCAGCTGCAGGTAGGGGCACAAGCAAGGAGTCCGAGAGCCAGAGCATCCATAGCATCGCATGATGGTCTGCTGGACACAAGGCTGAGGTGAGCTTTCTGTTGTCACTGAGACCTGGACGTGACTGTGAGAAGGATACGATTGCAGAACCCTGGAACTTAGAACGGAACTTAGAATTCGGAACTAGAACCCAGAATCCCCTGGAACCAACCTCCAAGCAGCTTTTTTTAAAATTAATAATTTTTTTAACTCTTTTTGAGAGTATAATATAGTTACATCATTCTTCCCTTCCGTTTCCTCCCTCCAGCTCCTCCCTTGTACCCCCCTCCTTTGCTCTTTTTCAAATTCATGGCCTCTTTTTCTTTGTTATTACATATATATGTTATTACACACACACACACACACACACACACACACACACACACACACACACACACACTCTCTCTCCTAAATATATGAGTACAACCTGCTCAGTCCATATCATGTTACTTGCATGTGTGTTTCCAGGGCTGACCATTGGTATTGGAAATCGGTTGGTGTGCTAACCCCTGGGGAAAACTATCTGTCCCGCTCTCAGCGTTCTTTATTGCCCTTTAGTTCTTTGTCTAGGACTGAGGCCTTTAGAGCTTCCTCCTTCCACCTTAGCGTGTCTGTTGGTGGTGAATTTGTTTAGGTCTTGTTCAGCAAGTTCAGTGCGTTCTCCTCCAAGGTCTGTGACTTCACTAGCCCTGAGTCGCTGGCTAGGTTTCCAGTGCCAGGCATGATGTCCCTCTTGTTAAGTAGGCCTTAATTCCAACTAGGGAACTGTTGGCTCTTGCCAAGGTATGAGTGTCACTCCTACACCCTTAGGGTCATTGTGCCCTGCTGGTTGTTATTGTGGTTCATAGCTAGGTAGGACCAAGCTGCTCTTTCTTTATTCTGACATACTTCCCGGCACTGCCTATTCAAAATCCATTCTGTAGATATATCTGTCCCCCACAAGACAGCGACACCAGGGGCTAACGGGGCAGAGTGAGCTGCCTGGGAAGAACAGGTTTTGGCAGGGTCAAGATGAGACCCAAGACTCCAAGGCTGGGGAGCTCAGAAAGAGGATCGAAGTTCCTAAGGCTGCATGTCCTCTCAGGGACCGAGGACAGGGAAATGTGCCTCCATTTATAGAGGTCAGAGAGGCCAATGGTTCTGAGGGAAGCTGCTCAGAGCCAGCCTCTCATCTCACAGCAAACAAACCCCAGGTGGTGATGCGATTGCCACAGAGAGTCCTCCGAGGGGAAGTCAGAGGGTGGCCCCACATAATTGGGAAATACGCGTACAGATTATTTCATGATTTGGAGGAGACCCCATGTGTCCTCATTCAATTTCCATTATGCAGATGGTAGTCTGATAATAATATCACTTCCCCTGCCCACCCCTTTGCCACCCTGTGACAAAGTCTTCCAAGACCCTGCCCTTCTGAGAGCTACAGAGAGCTATGGGACCAGGCTAGAAAACCTTTTCCCACCCAATGCCTGTGACAACCTGGCCAGCTGAGCCCCGGCAGCTCAGGGTCCTCAGCTCTTCCCAGCTCATGGCTCACCCAGCTGCAGCCTGGGACCTTCGGTGCTCCTGGGTCCCAGGCTCCAGGGGATCTCAGGAGGCCCGAGCCTTCTGCCCTCTGGCAGTTCCCACACAGGCTAAGGGAGGCTTGTTTCTCAGAGCTCCCGCCCCTCTCTCCAGCAATCCCCAGGGCGCCACGCAATTCAATGGGCTATCAGGCTTGCCCATCACTCTTCCCCCCCCCACCACTCTGTTACCCCTGAATAGGTGGGATCCAGATAGTTACAGGCACTCCCATCCCCAAGCCCCCAGCCAATCTCTCCGAGGACCGTCTGGGACCTCGTAGTTCTGCCGAGTTACCTGCCTTACCACGCGGAGAACTGTGGGTACTTGCTTGGCTGGCGCTAAGCAGCCGGTTCTTTTGTCTGCCACTGCCCTAAAGCTGCGATCTCAGCTGGGCACCTGAACACTGAGCCTGCCTGGTCTGTGCTGCTGCGATTGTGCCCCGTGAGTCTAGACAGAGGTAACAGTTACAGTCTCCCGGTGTTTAGCTCCTGGAGACAGGTGTCTCCTTTTGGGGACTGTATGCCTCTCCCCTCTCTCTTGGCGTTGGCTGACAGTGTGACAATGCAAACAGGAATCCCGTGCAGGCAGACAGCAGGCAGGACAAGGCAGCGGCTGCTTGCCTTGCTTATTTCGGTGGTTGGGTGGGGGTGTTCGGGTTGGCTGTAGGCCCTTCAGGGTCCACATCTGCCGGGTTGGGACTGTGCCAAAGGCTCTGGCCTGTCCAGTTGCCTGGCTGCACTGCGCTGAGCTGCAGGAAGCATGGTGGCTGCTGGCAGGCTCCCATGATGCTAATGAGGGCAGTCTCAGGCCAGGGGGAGGGGAGCCTTTGTCCTGTTCTTGTCTTTGCTGGAGAGTCCTCAGAGAGAGACAAGGGGCCCTCCACAGACCCAAGTACACATGATTAGCCTGCCATCACTCACATTGATGGCACTCAGAGCTCTGGAGTGTGGACAGAAATGGGGGAAGAAGAGAAACAAACAGTCCTGGGCGGTCCCTGCACTTTCCAGGCAGTGGCCTAGAGAAACAGAGGGAAAACACTGCCTTATGCTCTCTCCTCTGTTTTTCTTCCCTTTCCAGGCTACCCCTTCACTGTACTCAAGATAACACCCTACCACCAGCAGCAATGTTAGTTAGGCTCTGGTTACAGTGTCTCTGATGATGTGTCCCCATGCTTCTTTCTGAACTCCCAGCATCTCCGTAAGCCATGCCCTGGGTGGCTGACACGAGTCCCTGTGTGTGTCCTGCCTCCTTTCCCTACTGTCAGTGATCGACTGAGGCTCAGGTCTCCAGTGGCCCCACCCTGCATAGAGTAGTGGTCCCACCTCATCTGAAAACTCTCACCAGCCTCCAGGGAGGGCGCATAACAGACCAGTGCCTTAGGGATGTGTGACAGATGTCAAGAGGTGAATGGTTTGATTACCTCCAGAGCAGCCCTCTCAAACTTGGGCCCATAGATACCCAAGATGTTGGGGAGAATTCACACAGAACACAGACTTGAAGGGGAAAAATGTTACATCTTACTTTCAGTGGCTTTGACTGAGACAGCTTTCCATCTTTGGTTGACACAGAGAGCACCATAGCAGGACTTTTGTCACCAATGGAATCATTCTCCAGTTGTGGTAGGTCACCTTGAGATGTGATTTATGATTATTTCCATCTTGAAACTATGGCAATTATTATTAATCATCATTATCACCATTATTATTATTATTGAGAGAGAGAGAGGGGAGAGAGAGAGAGAGAATCTTACTATGTAGCTTAGGCTAGGCTCAAACTTGTGACCTCCCACCTTGACTTTCTAAGTGCTGGGATTGTAGGTGTGTGCTATCTTGCCCAGCTACCATAACATAACATTTTTTTTTATTTAATCAAGTTTTATTTTTCCAAATGTACAGCTGATTGAACCTGTTCAAGCATCTTCGCCAGCAGCTGGGGCATCTCCACCCTTTGTGTTTCTGGTGTAAATTACTTGGGCTCTGTGCTTTGAAACCAGCTTGATAAGTCCTTTACTAAGTAGCTCCTGAAGGGCTGCCCTAGCCAAAGAATCTTCTGTCTCTGAGAGTCCACAGCTGGAGTGATGAGCTTGTGGTTGGGAACCTCCTTACAGAGT